CATCTGCTCCAGTGTATGATTTAAACTTTAATATATTTTCTACGAATTGGATTGGATGCACTCGGTCCCTAAGGCAACCCATGGCGGGACAGACTAGCATTCCCAGATTACGAGCTTTAAAATCTTTCATCAGATTAGTGAAAGCCATATCGTATGTATCCTTATAGTCTGAGAAATTGTTAGCATTTAGGTAGTATAGAGGTTTAGTCACCAGGCCATATACACTTGCTCCAGATGTTGTTTTCTGATAGGTTAAATGATCACTGCAATAATCTGTGCTTTTTGGCTTCCCAAATTTATCTCTAAATCTTGTTGCTACTCCTTGGGACATTTGCTTACTACTGTCCAGGTCGGCTGAGATGCAGTGTGCAAAAGCCACCTGCGCATCATTGCGGTACTGCTCTATGACCTCACTCATGTCTGCCACCTCTATGATCTGCACTGTTTTATGTGCAGAGACAATGGTTCTTCGCTTGTTAAATTCAAGGTTCAAGACATAATCTGCAATTCTGCGACTTAAAACTTGTTTACCTAGTTTGTTCAGGTGTTGGCCGTGCAAAGTAAAAAACCCCCTTTTGAAATCGCTTATATTAATCATATTGATATTTTGCTGTTTCAATTTATAATTTAATCTGTATATTTTTTTGTTGATTATATTATCCCATGCAAGGTCATGGCGATGTACTTGGGACACAAAGACAACATTGGTGTGTTCATTTGCTGACTTGAGATTCTTGTATAATTCAGGTATACAATCTTCAGGGTCTTGTCCAGTGTGACTAGTTTTACTGATGTCATTGGCTCCTGCTATTACCACTACTGTGTCATCTTTGGAGAAACCGTTTATTGTTTTCTTAGCCTCATTTATAACGTGGTTGGCTGTAGCCCCAGGACTACAATACACGAAAGTGTCTGTATTCCTTGGTAATAGGGATTGTATCAGACTGCTCAGATCTTTGCCATGGCTATCGGCAAACACATAGACTTTATTTTTGGTGCTATTATCGGTTAGTTTGCTTGTTTCTTGATGAGGTCTACTTTGCCCCCTCACAGGATTTGGTTTGGTGAGTTTTCCAACAGACCCTTGCTTTTTACTTCCTTGTTGTTTACTTTGATGTTTTTTTGAAATATTTGCTGTACAGTGTTCTTCATTATATTTTGTTATTATTGTCTCAGATTCATGAGGGGTTAAAGGTTTGAAACGATTAGACAGAGCAATAGGAAAGTCATTTGGTCTATTTGAATCTTGCTTTCTCTGTTTGGGTTTGTTCGTTCCTGGTTCCTGTACAGTTTGCCAACAGGAGCTGGATGGACCGCAGGGTGGTATTGAGGTGAAGGGTGTTGTGCTGAGGGTGGTGTTGACAGTTGTCGGAGGTGGGTGGAACATCATGCTCTTTAGGGTGTCAGAACTGATAGAGATATGATTGTTGTTGTGGAGCAATAAAGCTAGTTGTGCACGTTTTGTCAATAAATCACTTTCTTTTATATTATTCTGGCAGAAAAATTCAGGGGTTTCAATGAGTTTGCTAAAATTACCCTGGACAATCATCTGGATGAGAAGGTCTGTAAAAATAAGTAAGTACACACCGCAATCGACAGAGTTGAATTGCTGGGGGGAGGCCACTTCAACCACAGATTCTTCCTCTGATAAGTCTAAATATTTTGACATTTTCTTCGTAACCAGCTGGGCATGCTTTAAGTTATATTTTGTGCTTGAGTCGAAGTAAACAAAATTCTTTATGGCCTTTACATAAACCATTAGACTCCAGTGACTACCGCCCACTTGGTCAATAACCAGAGCATCGTTGATTGGAAAAAATATATATGACTTATCACGCATTTGGAGTGGTTGAATGACATGGTCTGTATCCTGCAGGCACTTTACAGCCTGCACCATTACAGGGTTCAAAAGCAGTATGTTTTCATTGGTTACTTTAGCTGTGAGTACATCATAGTACATCTGGATCGAATCATCTGTCAACCATTTAGATTCTAATATATTCATACAAATGGATTGGCGGTAAGGAGTATTAGTTTCTGCCACTTTCATTACTGGTAATGGTTTAGAAACCTTTTTGGTCTGGGAAATCCCTTTTGTAGCCGATATTGGTGTGATTTCAGAACTTGATTTCAGTTTTGAGCACGGTTCAGTCAAAGCTAATCTAGTCTTAATTAAATTGGACTTATTATTGTTGACAATCTTCAGTATAATCTTTGCTAAATATTAACAAGTGATGTTTTTCCTTTTGTACTGTATTTGTAATTTGCTAGTATACTGTGGGTAGTTGGCTTATTATGAACACATGCTACAACTTCAAGTCTTTTGTTTACTTTATCCTTGTTATTTAATTCATCCAACATGGTTACCTAGCAACCCATAAGACTTATGTTAAAAAAATGTGATTTTCAGTTTCATTTTTCTACGTAATTAGATTTTTGTTGGCAGTTCTAACTGCAGTTAACTCGTTTTTAGACCAGAAATAAACTATTTACAACATTTGAAGAAAATCGTCAGAGCCGTTTTCGAGATCTTATTTGCAAGCAAGCAAGCAAGCATACATACAAGCAAACATTGCTCGTATAAGATTATAGGATTTTACTGTTACTTGTTTTTGGTTCTTTATCTTGTTGCTAATTACCAAATTTGTTGTTCCCCATGTTGATTGTTAATTATTGTTGTTATTTATTTTTATATATTGATATATTTTTGATACATTCCTATTTATTAGGGTTTTTTAGTCAGGTCATCTTCATGTTATATATGACATGTATTATGTAAGTTTGAATGTAATGTCTTGCCATCATTGTATGTATGAAAATGGAGTTTTCCGTCTGTAAATAAATAATAATAAAAAAAAAACAAGTTGCATTAGCTTAGTACATACATCATCTTATCATAGCTTAGAAGTTACATTTATTATCAAACATACCTTACATGAGACTTACAACAGAGATTTACAAATTGGCTTACATAATGCTTTTAAAATTTATAAATAATAGCAGTCTTATAAATTAATATTTTTACAATAGCTAGCTTTCTTAGAGCTGATGTGAGTAAGGAATTCCTGGATACTGTAAGAGGTAAAATTTATCAGAAGAGATTTTAATAGTTTTTTTTTTTATTTTAGGCAATTATTTTGCCCTATTATTTAATGATAGCTACAATGGTTAAAGTGTAATTTTGATTAGTCTGCTTACATTTTTTTTTTGCACGGTGAATCCAAAAATGCAATCAGTTTTTGTTGGAAAGGCTCCTATAAGTGGCTGTAAAAGGAAGTTATTTATGAAACTTCACATTAGGTGTAGGGTGAACTTCAGTTTCATACAGGAGGCTAAAATCACTATTTGATCTCTTTGATAAACAGAAGTTATTGAGTTGTTTTTGTTTGTGTTGATTACCCTGTACCGGTACTTGATTTTCAGTTAAGCTGGTTCAAATTAAACTGGGCTGTTAGCCTTGCAAGACACTTTGCTACCTAACCTAAACTCAGTAGTGAGTTTTGATCATAATTACTTGGACTAACTAGTCTACACAGTTGAAACCACATCTCAAAGTCAGGGCCGTCTTTATAAAATGTGAGGCCTGGGGCAATACATAATTGCGAGGCCTTGTTTAATAATGCCAACCGGGGGGTGGGATAAGGGATACCATTATATGCATGTAAAATCAAGTTGTCTAACCATTTACTCTTGTTATTGTTAAATATTTAAACTAGCAAGTTCATTGGACAAGACTATTGGTTTCCAGCAGAGATCGATCAAGCTTACTTATTTGACTTCTGCTGTGCCTCTGATACTCTACAACCTTCAATGAACTTACTTCACTATCAGAGGGCGGTTTACTCACTTTATCCTCTGAATCATCTTTAAGAGAAGCATTTTCTTTCTTCAATTTGTCAAGTCGGGATTCAAGGTCTATAACTTTACCATTAACTATTTCCAACTAGACGTTTCATTTTGTTCCACCACAGTATCTTAGAAATGAAAATACTCATTGAGCTCAAGATTTTTGCAGTAGCCTATAACTTATAAATTTTTTGGACAAGACTTATCATAGACTTCACCCAGAGTTACAAGAAAATCTGATATTTTGTTGATCAAACAAGTAAGATCAACACCAGGATGGTTTACTAAAAATAATTAACTTTAGCTGAGAGTTCAAGCAAAATTTCTTCAGCATGACTGTCAATATTTACTTTTTCTGATAGCTGAAAATTCATCTTAAAATTTCAATAATAAGTTGCAGTTTAAACTAACAAACTTAATTCACATTCAATATTACATCAAAAACATAAAAGACCATTTAAGAGAATACCTGTGCATTCAAAGCTCCAAAGAAGTTGATGGTGTTGGCCGTGGGCGCGGCAGCTAGATAGAATGAGATTATTGACAGCCCCTTCAGTTTTTTGGACGGAAAACAGTATGCTTGAAAGCAGTGCAAGTTGTGTCTACTATACAGCACAAGTGGCTTAGACGACAAGCCGGGTAGCCGTCAGCGCGTTCTGATCTTGGTCAATGAGCAGAGTTGCAATAAACAGGGTTACGTCTCAGCGGGGAAATCAACGTTTGTTAGGTTGGTAAATTATTCGAGCAGCCCAGCATGTTCAAATTATGCTGCGAAGTATCTGCCTTGGTATCATTTGATAAGTTAGGTTGTGTCTATAGACGTTCTATGTTGTAGAGTTAGTCACATCACAAGTCCACATTTATGTACAGTACTTACAACGTGTTTGGCCATTTTAGCTTCAACGATAAGTTCTTTAAAAACTCTTTGAGACACTTGTTTACACCCTTATTAACTTAGTCTGCAACGGATTATATTCAGTAATAAAGCTGGAGCGACGTACGAAACAACCCCCTCATGTGGCCCAGTGCTGCCAACGAAACTAAAATGTTTAACCTAATGAAGATTTAGCTAGTACAATTATAGTGTAAAGACAATGAGGTACTTTTTTCCATATAAGTTACTTGCAAACTTAAATATTCCTTATTTCTTTCAGAAATCAAAGGTCCACTGAAAATTGTGAGAGGCGCCCAAGGACTAAATATTGTAGCCATGTACAAGGCACCTGTCCAGAAATCCGATTTGGGCAGAGGTTATGACCAGTTCCCACCAAAAGGTACATAAATTGGTTTACACAATTTTTAACTAAATTAAGCACTTTTCTAGAATTTTTTTTATCAGTGCCAACATTAGACCTGACCTATTAACTATAATTAATTATGACAAGAGTGTAAATCATGATTGTGACAATAACTTAGTAAGACTTAGTAGCCTAAGTAATAAAGCCATATTCACCCCATAAAACCACATGAAAGCCAGTTCACATTCAGAATCTGTATTGGAAATTTTCTCTGTAAGGTAATCCTTTATTAAACAATAATAGACTGATAGAACGAGTATGATAAATTTAAAAACAACACAATAATAGATCTGACAAATTGTATTTGTTTTTTAGCTTTTTTAAAAAACTTAAGTAAGTATGTGGAATTTGGAAGTTTTCAGAGTAAAAAATACAACAAAACTCATATTTACGCCATAATCCTCTATGAAAGCCTGTTCTCATCATCTGACCAGAGGATGCTTTCACTTTTCATGCTAGATAAGTCTTCACTCTCTTACATCCAGTCATATCAAAAGTGAAGTTTCATCAACAGTTTAGTCGCTTTTGATTTCATCCCGGGATGATAATTTTACCTATAGCATCAAGGGTTAAAGACACAATATAATATTTTGTTTGTTTTTAAAGCTCTTTAACACATCCAATAAACCCATGGAATTTTTAGATTAAAACTCATACAACCCGCTGTGAAAGCATGTTCTCATGACCCAGCCAGGATGCTTTGTGTATATGACATATCCAATATAATTTTACGTAAGAGAGTATTGTATTGTAATATAATTTGTAATTGTATGTAAGACACAACTCCACATTGTGTTCAATCTCTTACATAAAGTCATATCAAAAGTGGGGTTTTATCAACAGTAGTCACTATAAATTTCACTATAGGCCTACTATTTTTACCTATAGACTACCACCATAACTCTTCACCGGGGAATAAAAGACATAATTTACTGCTTTAATTCTAAAGCTCTTTTGAACACATCCACTAAACCCAAGGAATTTTTAGGTTTTCAGAGTATATAATTACAAAACTCATATTTACCCCATACGATATGATGCTTTGCCAATGATGCTTTTTGAAAGTCATCATATTGGATAAGTATTTACTCTTGTATACCCAGTTTCATTCTAAGTAGAAGTAGAGCAATAAGTGTTGTTGCATTAAAATAACATGTGAACCCTTTTTTACAATTTTCTTCACAACCCTTCATTAGACAATAAATGACATGAAATACTAATTTGTTTGTATATCATCCACAAAACCCTATGGAATTTTGATGATTTTACAGTCAAAAGTGACAAAACCCATATTTACCCCATACGACCCCTTAGGCCGGCCGCATACTGGTCAGACAAAACGTTTTTTGAGAAAACGGTTTTTTCAAAAGACGTTTTGCCGTAAAACAAAAATGTTGCATCTGTGTGCGGTAGTCTCAGACAAAAGACAAAAACCTGGAGGGAAAACAAATTCGGTCCGTTCCTTTGTAGAAAAGTGAAAACGCACTAACATGTGTTTATAATGTGCGTGGGGGGTTTTTATAACAATGAACGAGGAAGTGGAGCTACCCACTCCCGACGTCTTTTGACAAAACGGCCGGCCGCACACTGATCAGACGTTTTGTCGAAAGACGTCGGAAGTGAGTGGGCTACCATGCAGTTAAATGGAAGCATCACACACTGATGAGACAGAGGTTTCAGACGCGTTGTTTTGTCTGAAGACGTTTTTGGGCGTTTTTATGATCGCCTCCAATATTTCGTCTGAAGCCAAAATATGGTCAGACAAACAGTTCTGCGCATGCGCGGAGGGCGGATACAGTACAACTTATCCATAGTGTATATTGTAATAATTTTTCTTACAGCTAGTAGAAGTTTATTTTTGATTTATGCTTAAAATAATAAAAATGTTAATTCAATTTCAAATATTTCAACTTATTCCATATATTGTAATCATTTTCTTTACGGTTAGTAGTAGTTCGTTTTCGAATTATGCAGAAAATAATAAAAATGTTAGTTCAATTTCAAATATTTCAACTTATTCTATATATTGTAATCATTTTCTTTGCAGTTAGTAGTAGTTCATTTTTGATTTACGCAGAAAATAATAAAAATGTTAGTTCAATTTCAAATATGGCAGCTTATGCTTCCTTCCTTCGTTTAGTTCTGCGTTGTATAAAGTTCAACAACATATGTCCACTTCCTCATCCATTTTATTAACACCATACAGTCTCTGGCTTTTCACAACACTGGTCTATGGGTGACTGAATTTAGTTTTCCCTCCAGTTTTTGTCTTTTGTCTTAGACCACCGCACACCGACATTTTTGTTTTCCGACAAGACGTCTTCCGAAACAACGTTTTGTCGAAAGACGTTTGTCTGATCAGTGTGCGGCCGGCCTCACAAAACATGATCAGAAACACACATTACATAGTCATGTGAACATGGTGGCAGGTGAACATGAAGACGGTAAAACTATTGAGAATACACGTTATATAGCGGACATGTGTTAGCTAACCTCAGACAATGTTTTTAATCTCAGCGGGTAATTTGTTGTAATTTTTTTGTAAAATTCATATATAGGTATATATATATGTCTGTTAGCGCGATAACTCAAGCAAAAATGATCTGATTTTGATGAAATTTTGTACAAATGTGTAAACCTACGTTTATCCGAAACCGGCATGATTGGACTATTGAAACAGGAGTTTATGGGGCGTTTTATGGGGTAAAATAGGGTTTTCCCTTTTTTGACTCTAAAAACATAACATTTTGCAATTTCTTTCAAAACCATTTTGTGGAGCTTAACAAAAATATTTTGTATATTGAAGTGTTTTAGTACGGTTATTGATTACACAGAAAATTCAAATAATTGTAAATTTAAAATTCCCAGGCGAGGGTATTTACTATTTAGTAATTTTTTATTGTTCTATGCTTACTGGATTTTTCACAATTTTCCCGAAGGAAACAGTTTTAGCACTTGTTACTATTTAATGTCGATTTGTGTTTAGAGAATGCCATTAATTAGCCTAGTGACAACTAACTGGCATGTAGGTTCAGAAAAGATCCTGTTGGGATTTAATTACCAACTTTCCAAGTATAATTCTAACATTTTACATTTTGTTTTTAAGATAGCTTACTACCTTGACATTTGTACGTAATTCTATCCATCACTGTCATCTAGGTCTGATATCTTTTATGGGAACGACGGGAATAATAGCTTGGTTCTTCGGAGCTCCTTCACCCACCCACCTGGATTGCCTGTCCCTCAAGATCAATGACAACTCTCTGCAGGATTGCTTAGTCCGAGGGTCCAGAGGCTATTTGGCTGCGGTCGACGCACTTTCTGGTAAACTATTTTTTTATATAAGACAAGCTGTTGGCCCGTCCTATGTACGGGAATTGAGTAGTCGACTAAAACTGAAGTTATATCAATATTTCCATTTCTAATCCAAGCCAAGTTCGTGCGGTTAAACATTTACTGTAAACAAAAAAATGCCAAGATGAATTAAAACATGTAAACATTGTTATTTTCCTATTCTTTCTTTCAAAAAGTTGAACAGAAAAATAATTTGCATAAGCTTTTGTATGAAGATTCGGGGGCAGAGCCTCGATTTGTATGTACATCAGTGGTTACTTATTTCCTATAATCCTATAATCTTACTTATTTCCTATAATCAATGGCAAAATCAGAGAATAATAAACTAACCTGATAGATCTAAAGAATATTTTTATATTCAACCAGCTGTTAGTTAAAACAAATTATATTGCACTAAAACAAACTTAAAATTTTATAGACTGCTATAAAAAATAAATTAGAACATCTAGCATTTTACCATGCATATTTATTTAAATAGTCTGTCATCCTCTAAACCAATAAATGAACGTATCAATGAGTAAAAGAATAAGAATATATTTATTGTCATAACAGTACATTCTTTAACAACTAGCAAAGCTAGAACAGAATAGATGACATTGTCAATGCAGTAAAGTTATCATAATTGAGTACACCTAGCAATAAGTATCCAGAAAAAAAATTTATCAAACCTCACAAAAATCATTTTAAGAACATGAACTATCCCTTTACAAGTTGTTTTCTAAAACTTATCATTTAAAAATGTGTCAACTAAATAATACATTTTTTTTATCAAAAAATCCTTTAACTTTTTTCTAAAGCCGTTCTCCTCTATTATTTCCTTCAACTCGCTGGGTAGTGCATTGTACAGTTTCCTCCCCATATATTGTGGTGTCTTTTCAGATAGTGTCAGACGGTGTCTTGGATACTGAAAATTTGCTTGAAATCTAGTTTCATGATGGTGCCTATGCTGAGTTTTACTTAAAATTTCAAAATTATTTTTAACAAACATAAGACATCTTAAAATATATAGGCAGGGAACAGTTAATATACCAAATTCTTTGAAAAATTGTTTACATGACTTTCTCTTTGAGGCGAATGTACTTTTTTTGGACCTTATAGCATTACATCTATCTATATAAATAAAATTACAATTTTTTATGTACATTGCTTAGAATCATGCAGTTTTTGGTTATTTTTACATTTCATAGCCTAAGAAAGCCGAAACGAGTCTTATCTCAATTTATCTGTATATCTGTTTGTCTGTCCATTCTGTGACTCCGTCAGTGACGCCAAATTGTCATTTTATGCGGCCTACTCCTAGAAAACTAGAGTACCAATCAAGGTTCTAATCATTTTTCTGTATTTACTGGATTGGTGAGAGTGTCTTGGGCTATAAAAACGTGGCCTCGCCTCTTTGAAAACAAAATAACGAACCATCAAAAACCCAATTTTGTTTGATTTTTGTCAAAATTTCTCCCAATGTTTCCTATTACATTTGATGAAATAACGATCAGCTGTTTGGATTAGTTCTCACTTCTAGCTGTCACTGATATGTTTACATTAAAAGTTGTTTACAAATACCACAACCATTTTTGATCAAGTTTTGTTAGCACATCCAAACCAAGTGAGATTAGAAACGTTGTGCCTTACTTAACCTGTTTAATTAATCGCAAGTGCAATGAGTGTTCTTGAGTTTTTATAACCGGGGAAAATACCGTGAATCAGTGTTGTATTAGTGCTGGGAAACTTACATTTTTTTAATCGTCGTCACCAATGCTTACAAAAAGGTTTCCGCACTCATTTATGGCCCTTCAAAGACAGTTGTGTAAAGTGCAAAGTAAAAAATCACAACTGCAGTGGGTGATCGTGGATGTTGCTGCAATCTTGGAAGAACTTTCTGATTTCACTGTGATCGTAACAGAGGTTTAACTTACAGATGTAGCTAAACTCGCTTTTCCAAAATCGATTAGAGATTACGTAATATTTTATAAGAAACCTTTGTTTGGATAAAGGTGGTTTCTTCAAACTGTCATTAATATGTTAACATTAAAAGTTAATTACAAATAATGCTATTAATGGGAAATAACTTTGATTTTCGAAAACTTAAAAAAAAAATAAAACCAAGTGAGATTATAATAACTACGGTACTGCACCACATCAAGTGAAAGTTTTTTTGAGGAAACCATAGGGAGTTTTTAAAGCTTTACGTTGTTAACATACATGTTACATGTTTTGTGGCCTGTGTATTTATTCATTTATATATTTGCCAACGGATTAACACAAATAATACAGGTTGATTACATAGAAAGTTTGAATTGTTCTTAAGTACTATAGTTCTTTTCATAAATGTAAACGTTGGTTTATGGTACTGCTACTTTTCCTTAGAACTGGTGGTAGCAGTAAGAATCATTTTTACGTACAAACACATCACTATTTACAACTATAGTTATCGTTAGTGCTGCACCTTATTTCTTATTAAATTTAATTGATGTCTTACTGTATAATTTTTGCGTTTCTGTCTGGACTCCAAAATGTTAGTTTATCCTATGAAAATGATCAAACATTAGTGAACGATTTTTTTAGAAAACCATCATGATTTTTTAAAGCTTGGCGTTGTTAACGTATAAATGTTTTGTAGACTGTGTATTTATTTACTTATTTATATATTTGCCAAAGGATTTACACAAATTTTACAGTTTGAAAAATCGACTATCATAAAATTTGATGACAATATCAAAACTTTCAAATAATTATTTTGTTTGTAGACTACTTTGCTTTGGTTAGGCCCCTATTACACGAGGTAGCCTGGCGACGTCGCCAGCGGCAGTAGCTGGCGACGCACTGGCCACCAAACCTATAACCAGTTGAGTAGCCAGTTGAGTAGCCAGAATTTTACCGCCGTGGCGCCGTTGTTGTGAGTGCTTGTCTTGCACTTGTACTTGTTATGAGCGGTGTTTACAGTGAATAATGAGTGATTATAAGTATCTTCTCCTTCTGTTACTTCTGAAGAAAAGGAGGCAAAGGAAGAGAAAAATGTACGTTCATCCAATGCTTAGTGCAAGAGAATCAAAATGGTTATATTACACCCTTTTTGATGAGCTCTGTGCGGACAATAAAAAATGTTTCAATTATTTTCGTATGTCACAATCCAGTTTCTTCGAGTCATAAAGGATGATATAGACATTTTATCAACTGAAGTGAACAATTCACACACTCACAACACAACAGAACGCAACACAACAGTGTGCAAGTACCCCCGTGATATGAACTAACCGAGTGGCGACGTAATACTGGCGACCTAGTGTAATAAGCTCCATATGCTACAACGCAGCGTCTCCAATATGGGTAGCCAGTGGCTACCACAGTGGCGACGGGGCTCGGTAGCCAGTCGGTCGCCAAAGTGTGGCTGCGTCGCTGGCTACCCTCGTGTAATAACATCCATAAGAATCAATGCCCCATGACAAGCTGAGTAGCCAGTTTGGTCGCTGGCGACGTCGCCAGGCTACCTCGTGTAATAGGGGCCTTAAAGAGTAGCAAATCCCTTAATTCAATTCTGTATTTGTGTGTGTATGTCTGTTGGTAACACATTAATGTCCTTATTTCTCAGTGTTTCGTGGAAAAGACAAGATCACCTTTGTCAATGAAAATTTCAACCCGAATAAAGTGTGCAGTAGTGAGGTTGAGGTGGTATTTTCAGTGTGAAAAGTAACTTTCAATTACAGGCCTACATTAGGGCTATGCGTCATATATCTATAAAGCAAGTCCTTTTATCATTAGATATAAAATATGGACTAACACGATCGGGTGACATTTAATTGCGAAGCATTCGTTTTGGCTTTGAAACTGTCAGATATTGTATTTGCAAAGGTTTATGTATTCCTATACAGTAGTAGTTTTGGCTGCATATCTGGGAAAATGCACACTAAATATGCAAACCAACTCCTGTTTTGAATATAAGCTTTCAACTTACTACAAGATTCCTGTACGTAGAACGGGCAAATAGTTAGTATACCGGTACTATAAATAAGTCAATCCTATGCATGTCATTATTATCCAAATGCTGAATTTGTGTCACACAAGCTTAATGTTTACAAAATGGTTTTATACCAAAAGCTAGTGTAGAATGTTAGCGTCGGCAAGACAGAATCTTTGTTACCCTTTATTTGTTGATTAGTCAAGGTTAAGGGATAAGGGTATCCATGTAAATTGATATGTAAATGGTATGACAAGGTTGATAGTCATATGACACATCAAAATAAAGCTCAGAGAGTGTAGAGAGTGTACAATTATTGGTATGAACAAAAATTCCTTAAGGGTTCTTGCCCACAAACCGATTTCCACATTTAACTTTTTTATTTTGGAATTTACATTCCATTTCTTTTACATGAAATATTCACTCCATAAACTTGTCTGTGTGTTAAAGGCATTTTTAAGTGGCGTGCAGGCGCGAATAAGTTCCGATTGGTGGATGTGTCATTCCCCGTAGTCACGCCAGACTTGAACTACGATGGATATCACGACTTGGCTGTTACGACGAGAAACAAGCAAAACAGCCAGTTCATCGCTATCATCTCCGGACAGACAGGGTTTGTATGGATTAGAGTTGGATAAGGTTAGGCCTCTTACTTAAACGACAATAAAACAGAGAGTGCATTTTAAGGCGAAGACTGGTAAAGGATGTGTCAGTGTTGAAAGGATGAGATGATAGCTTTGTTAAGCCCCGTTCACACGGGGCGAGTTTACAAGCTATACGCCGGCTTTTTTACACGCAGCTAGTAAAATAGCTCAGTGTGAACGACGTACTCGCTCAAAAGCTGCTTGTAAAAAAGCTCTGGAAAAAGTTGACGGTGCCGCTACTTTACACGCCAACTCGCCAGCTTTTGCGCGAGTAGGCGTGTAAAGTAGCCCAGTGTGAACACAGTTGCTTGTGCTTGTGCGCTTGTTACTCAAAGATGTTGGAGGATTTGGTTCAAGCCAGCTACTGAGCGAGTGGAAAAAGCATCGTGTGAACAACTACAAGCGCACTTGCCGGCATCTTTCTACACGTCTGCGAGTTGGCGAGTGGACAAGCTCCGTGTGAACAAATACAAAGCACACTCGCCAACTCGCTGGCTTCTTACACGCTGGCGTGTAGCTTGTAAACTCGCCCCGTGTGAACGGGCCTTTAGTGACTAAGATCAGCTGATTAAATGGCCAGGACTATATATTAGAAGCACAATGATCAAAGACAGCTGGGTCTGGGTTTAAACCATCAAAACCTACTGACTTTTCTCAGCATCGAACATCTGACTTGCTGACCTCCTGATTTCTCACCGAACACTTTATCCATTCTTCTATCCAGCTTTATAATACTGGTGGTTAGTTATTTACATTTGATCAGATAAATAGATTTGAATCTACATTATTAATAAAGACTATAGCTGGTTATATTTTGTAATTCTTAAAAACATGTATTGTTAACATTTTATTGAATTAGTTAAAATAAAATCAAAGTATTTGCTTTATTTTGCGGTTTAAAAGTTTTTGTTTTACTGAGTAGCACTTTTTGTAAGATTTAAATAAATTTAAACTCAAGATATTTACACTATTCGTAGCGGTTTTAAGATATATATTTCACTACGCAACTAAATAACAGTATATACGGTACTGTATTAGTCATATTGACTATTGTTTAATGTGATGGTAATATCATTGACTATACACATAATTGACTTCAAATGTAATGTAAAAATTGAAGCAAAAAAAGTGGTGCAATCTGTTGCTAATGACAATATTCTGTGTAAATTGATCATCAATCAACTGTTTCCTATGATACTGCATTGATTTTAATTAATATTTATATACCCCAATACACTAAGTACTAGTACCCTCTGACGAGCATTACGGCCTGTTTTTTCGTGTGGCCTTGCACCTGGCCTCTCCTATCACTTTATAATTTTTTATGATAGGTTCTCTGATAGGTTTATGATAGAATTGTGCTGTATGATAAAAATTTAATCCATCACATGAGAAAGAAAATTTAATGAGCATTTCTCAATTCCCAACCTTGGCGTCGCCTTGGTCTTTAGACTTGAGATTCTGTCAAAAAGAGTCACTTTAGGCCCTACTGATAAAATACACAAGGCCATACTGAACAATCATAAAGCTTAAAAAATACAGCTAACAGGTGTTGAGTTTTGTCAATGTTAACTAAAGTTAGTTAACTCGTTGCAGATCGGTATTGGGAAAGCCTATGGAAGTTAAAGGCTGTACTGACATCAACAATTTGACCTTAGACAGAGACTACACACTGTATTATAACTGCAGAAAAAACAACAACAGCACTGGAAAAAGTGAGTTAGTAGGTACTGTATTAAATATGTTTTATTTTTCTTGAGTTCAAGACTTGATTTACCCTGTTTAAAACACTGGGTGCAGGAGACTCCCAATCACTCCTTTCTCTTATGGCAGTCTCAGCTCAGCTGTCAGCTAAATTTAGTGAGTGATTACGAGTTATTTACGTTTACTGTTTAGGATCTTATATCTAAATGTGATAACGTGGTTTTCTTTTATTCTGTAGGCTATATTCTATTCAAAGTAGGTTTCGTTTGTGGTTTTGCATACCATTGCATTAATTTAATTTGCTCTATATTAATTAATAACATATATAGTGTACTTTTTATATGTTTTAATATTTGCTTACATTAATTGTATGGATTTGATTATCATCAATTAAAAAAGATATTCATCAAACATTTAAGTAATTTACCTGACTAGTATTTATTTAAGGTAATTCAATTTGTTTAGGTGTCTGTGGTTGGGCATTAAAACGCAGATAGCAACGCAACCCGCCACGCAAATTTGTATAACAAGCATCACTCATTTTGTGTGTTTGGAGGGGGGCGCCAGTAAACCACGCGACGGCCCTGTCGGACGATGAGTCATCTTCCTTGTGCCACTGTCTTCCATCGTTCAAATTCAAAATAAATTTTTCCAGAAATATCCAATTATAAAATAGACTTTAAAATGGAAAAACACCCTCGCTCGATTAATCTCGCTAAACCCATGTTCTCATACATTATACTTCCAAAATTTTATTGAGATAAGTTTAGTTATAAGTTTAGTATAAAAATAGAAAAACCATAATTTAAACAGATAACTATATTTAAAACGTAAGGTACATATGTCACAATGTTCTTAAACCTTTGTGGTCATACACCACAAGTGGATATTTGAATATTTGAAATATTTTGCTATTATTACTATTTCCCTAAAACAAAGCAGCTCTACCGCTAAGTACTCACCACTTCAATCAAATTACACCTTTATTGACATAAATCACTATAACTACTTGTTTGCTGACTACAGCGATGAGTGTGGGCCAGATTGCGCTTGTGTCAGCTGTTCAAGCTATGACCAACCACACAGTAGAGCCCCGTGGCAGTGTCTCACCCCCCGCCAAGCATCTCGGCAATGAGTGGACGGTGAACAACTACAGACTGAATCTTCAAAACTCCGGCTCATCTCCTGCAGACTATCAGGTCAGAAAAAGAAATCAAATACTAGATGTTTTGGACTTTGGTTTTTTAGTAAAGTGTGTAATTGGAACCTCAGCTCAACATATTTCAATGGCATTAGAAAATATTTTCTAATGCCTATATTTTGAATGGGATTGAGTAATTATTAAGTAGATGCCTAAACATTTTTACCATGAAGTAAATATTACATTGAGCATTATGGCGTTTTGAAGGGAATTAAGAAGAATTTTGACGCTTTATCAAGTTGATAGTTACATCAAGACTTTACAGGAAGGTTTCAATGTATTAGTAAATCTATTCAGGTAATTTTTTGGAACGTGGAGCCCCATGTCAGAGCCACCTATAGTGTTATATCTAAAACATGGAGTATCCGCGTTGAGAGTTAAACAACAGTGATGCTTTTAATAAATGAGATCTTAAAAGTAAACTGTTACCGATGTTTATAGGTGGTCATCTCAGTAGTAGACCATCACAACCAGAGTGTATGGAACCCCACATTGCAGCAGACATACGCCATGACTCCAGTAATATTGCATCTACAACATGCCATCTCTGGGTTCCTGCTAAAGTTCTGGTACTGGCACAATCCCACTGAACAGGTGAGCATTTCGATGACTTACAAGTTATTACTGTTATTTTACCCTTTAAGTTTCAAGTTCAATTAAACAAATTTAAATCCGATTTGTTATATAAAAAATTAATAATGCTTTAATACTTTAAAAAATATCAACACACGTTAAACATACAACCAAACTTCCAATTACAACTATCTATTGTAATTCATGGGAGTTACCCTTATGGCAGAGCTTCGTGGAAGAAGCCCACCTAAAATAGAAAGATGAACACCTCGTGCGGAAAAGTACAAAAACACTATACTGAATTGTTTGTTTTTTTTTTTTACTCTTTAAGAAAGTTTAGAAAGAAATTGGGAAATTTTATGTTTTGAGGGTCAAAAATGAGAAAAGTAGCTATTACCGTGCCACCTACGGTAATAGCTACTTCCCTATAGGGAAATTCGCTTCAAGTGAGTTAGTTATGATTTGAGCCATCAAAAAGCTACAGACCTTTCTCAGGATCAAACCAGTGACTAGCTAAACAATCACTAAAAACACTCAAATAACCAGTTAACAATTTGTTATTCTTTGAAGAAACCCAAATATATTAATCAAAATTGCTGTAAAATATATTTTAGTCTGTTTCTGTTATGATCTTAATTTACTTATGCCATTATTTTCCCCAGAGAAAAGACAAGAACGGTTACCTGGTGAACACCATAAGTGAGAGGGTGGTGTTGGTGACCTTCAATGCTACTGGTAGTGTCCACATCGTCAACGCCAGTCAAACAGAGATTATACAACTGTGCTCAAACAGCACATGTCAGCCACAGTTGGTGGATCAGATGGACTCACGTAAGTGACAGTACTAGCATGTTAAGTGTTATTGATACCATTCAATGCTACTGGTAGTGTCCACATCGTCAACGCCAGTCAAACCGAGATCATACAACTGTGCTCAAACAGCACATGTCAGCCACAGTTGGTGGATCAGATGGACTCACATAAGTGACAGTACTAGCATGTTAAGTGTTATTGGTACCATCCAATGCTACTGGTAGTGTCCACATCGTCAACGCCAGTCAAACAGAGATCATACAACTGTGCTCAAACAGCACATGTCAGCCACAGTTGGTAGATCAGATGGACTCACGTAAGTGACAGTACTAGCATGTTAAGTGTTATTGGTACCATTCAATGCTACTGGTAGTGTCCACATCGTCAACGCCAGTCAAACAGAGATCATACAACTGTGCTCAAACAGCACATGTCAGCCACAGTTGGTGGATCAGATGGACTCACGTAAGTGACAGTACTAGCATGTTAAGTGTTATTGGTACCATTCAATGCTACTGGTAGTGTCCACATCGTCAATGCCAGTCAAACAGAGATCATACAACTGTGCTCAAACAGCACATGTCAGCCACAGTTGGTGGATCAGATGGACTCACGTAAGTGACAGTACTAGCATGTTAAGTGTTATTGGTACCATTCAATGCTACTGGTAGTGTCCACATCGTCAATGCCAGTCAAACAGAGATCATACAACTGTGCTCAAACAGCACATGTCAGCCACAGTTGGTGGATCAGATGGACTCACGTAAGGGACAGTACTAGCATGTTAAGTGTTATTGGTACCATTCAATGCTACTGGTAGTGTCCACATCGTCAACGCCAGTCAAACAGAGATCATACAACTGTGCTCAAACAGCACATGTCAGCCACAGTTGGTGGATCAGATGGACTCACGTAAGTGACAGTACTAGCATGTTAAGTGTTATTGGTACCATTCAATGCTACTGGTAGTGTCCACATCGTCAACGCCAGTCAAACAGAGATCATACAACTGTGCTCAAACAGCACATGTCAGCCACAGTTGGTGGATCAGATGGACTCACGTAAGTGACAGTACTAGCATGTTAAGTGTTATTGGTACCATTCAATGCTACTGGTAGTGTCCACATCGTCAACACCAGTCAAACAGAGATCATACAACTGTGCTCAAACAGCACATGTCAGCCACAGTTGGTGGATCAGATGGACTCACGTAAGTGACAGTACTAGCATGTTAAGTGTTATTGGTACCATTCAATGCTACTGGTAGTGTCCACATCGTCAACGCCAGTCAAACGGTGTTGTTATTTCATTTGTAGATTTTAAGGGAAAATATATTAATATTAATATAGTATTTACACTTACAAGGCAATGAATATACATCAAAGTGGTAAAAAGAAGGGGTCTTTGGGTACCCAACCTAGACTTGAAAATTGGTTTATACAGGGTGCGGCAAAAAAAACTAATCCATTTTCTGCAGAGCACTGTTCAGCGACAGGTCGTCTGAGAGTGGTGGGAGTAGACTCATTGGAAAGCCTACACAATGCCATTTTTTGTAGTCATAGAGCAGTGGTCGCCTGAGCTACGTGCGGTTGTTTTGAAGTTGTTTTTAAAAAGTATTGAATTCATTCATTGCAACTCAGCGGCATTGGCAGTTTCATGCATTCTTTCAATTAAGGCGTTATGGAGAAGTTCTGTTGTGTATCACAATAATGTGGTGGGTTACTAACTTTAGAACAACGGCTTCTGCGTTGAAAAGGAGGCTGAAAGGCCATCCAAAGTCAGATCGGACGCCAGACAACTAACATTCGATAGAGTTCGTGCTGCTGTGGAAAACAGTCCACGTAGGCCCGCCCGAAAACAAGTGGCTGCTTTGAACATGTCTGACTGCTCAGTTACACGAATTTTGAGGTTAATTTTCATCCCTACAAATTAATTAGACTAATAATTTGTTTAATTGTGTTATCCATACAGATAATCACGACGGAACCTCTCCATGTCGACCTAATTAATCAAAGCACGGAACTGCCACTGAATTGCAATGACTGATTTACTACTTTTTTTAAATGACGATAACAACCGCACGTAGCTCATACAACCACTGCTCTATGATTACAAGAAATGGCATCGTATAGGCTATCCAACAAGCCTACTCCCACCACCCTCAGACCGCCTGTCGCTGAACAGTGTGCTGAAGAAATTAGATCGTTTTTTTGCCGCACCCTGTATTTCACTACTCCAAGGTTTAGCTGGGGAAAATTTAAGCTCTTGTTCTTTCAGGGATTATTTCCACTAACAACATTGGAATTTCCAATCATCTTCAGGGCCGAATGTTCTTAAATACATCATAGTATTTTACTTACATACTTTTTTGAAAAAAGTACCTAACCATTTTCAGACTTTGTTTAAGGCTCTTTGCCAAAAGTCCAAAAATAAGATTTTATACATATAATTTTTTTTACCATGATGTCCTATTTTCTTATTAATGTTTGAAAATAAAATTGTTAACAATCTTAGGCCACAATCGTAGCAGTGCAGCAAACAAAAGCTGGCCTTATGAGTACACAGTACACACCAATGGGTACAGGAAAAAGTAAATTTGGCATTTGATTCTACCTAATTGGCTCAACAACACTTTTACACAGTTTGCACTGCCCACAAACAGTCGCAGATTCCTATATCATCTAGCAATGATTTAAACAACTACTAACAAGATTTTTATTAATTTATTTCCAAAAGACATTTATGTATTTTAATGTATTGAGGTAAAACAAGGAATTATAGTAAACATTTCGTGTATTAACTCTTATAATATCTCATTCTAGTAATTTTAAATAGTTTGATTTGTAAGGTTTGAATAAGAATTGCATCATTTAATTTCATTTATGTAAATATTTAATTTATAAGTTATTAGGATAGGCACGGGCAGGAGGGCCTATGCGGGACGATGATTGGCAACACAGATGAAAATACACCTTTTGAATACGATTCTTGCTTGGAGCTGGATAATGTTTTTGAAAGCGAAAGATTTTTCAATGAAACCCCAATAAATAGTAGTCTTAAAATATTTCACACAAACATAAGAAGTTTCTCAAAAAATTTTGACGATTTATCAGTGTATTTACAGTCTTTGAATGCTAATCTAGATATCATCGTCTTATCAGAGTGTTGGTTGAGCGGGGGGGAGGTGGGTCACTTGGACGGGTTTGACTGTACAATGACAGATACACAAAACAACAAAAATGACGGAGTCATTGTTTTCATCAACAAACGTCTGTCTGCTACAGTAACTCAAGTTAACATCAACAGAGTTTTTGGTATTTCTTTGGAATTCAGTCTTTTTAATAAAATATTCAATCTGTTAGCTGTTTACAGGACGTTTGATAGTGAAATTGATCATTTTATAAATGGTTTGGAATGCTATTATAATCGCATAAGTAAAGATACTAACTGTATCTTTTTGGGTGATATAAACATCGACTTACACAAAACTGATGCAATAACGGATCTTTACTTAAACACTTTACTAGGTGCTGGACTAGTCCAGTGCATCGACAAGCCGACCAGAGTGACACACAACACATCTACTTGTATTGACCACATTTTTGTCCGTTTTCATGATATGAGACGAGTCAAATCTGCTGTCATACAATCTCACATCACTGACCATTACAGCACTGCTCTTAAAATCACTAACACCATTCAGTCGCCTACAGGAACTGGAACTGACACTCTGCCACAGAACCAATTTCGCACCTACATTGATCACGCTTCACTAACTGAACATATTACAAAAACTGACTGGAGTCCTATCATGAGTAATCACGAGGTTAATCAGTGCACAGCATGTTTTTGTTCGACATTGAGTAACTGTATCGAAGCCTCAACAAAAACAATTAAAAATCACTCAACAAGATTTAAAAAAATAAAGCCTTGGATTACCGTAGACCTCATTAAATTAATTCGAAAACGAGACAAGTTAAGTAAAAAGATCAAAACCCAACCTTTTAATATATTACTTCTAGATAGATTCAGGGCCCTGCGCCTATCTTTAAATCAAAACATCAAACTCGCAAAGAAAAATTATTATAGGGGTATAATTTCAGAATCTAACAGGGATCCAAAATTATTTTGGGGCATAGTTAGTGAAATATCGGGCAGGAATTGCTCTAAGGACCATTTTCCATTTGAAAAAGTTTTACCTGGTTCTTCGAATAATGCGAACATGAAGACTAAAATAGCTAATGATTTTAATAAGTTCTTTACATCAGTGGGTTCTAAATTGGCCAACTCAATCAATTCAGCTGGGGCTCCAGTCGTAAACGACGCTGACTTCTCACTCGACACGAATTTCACATTCAACACGGTCACACACGCTGACATAGAACGTTACGTCCAGGGTCTGCGCGGAGGGTCTGCACCTGGCCATGATGGTATCTCGGCCTTTGTTCTTAAAGAAAACATCCACTCTCTATGTGCTCCTCTTCTGCACATTGTCAATCTTAGCCTGACATCTGGTATATTCCCAAACGAGCTGAAATTGGCCAAGATCATTCCATTGCACAAATCCAATGATTTCACAGACATGAATAACTATCGTCCGATTTCTTTGTTAAGTGTAATCGCTAAGCTATTAGAGAAAATATCTAAAGACCAACTTGTTTTTTACCTCCACCAGTGCAATATATTAAGTGAAAATCAGTATGGTTTCAGGAGTGACAAAAACATATCTGATGCTTTATTCGATATTAATAAATGCATTAACGAGGCAATTTATGGCAACAAACGAAGTATGTTAATATTTTTAGACTTGAAAAAAGCTTTTGACTCAGTGGACAGAAGTCGATTGTTGCGTAAACTTGAGCTTGTAGGGGTGCGCGGCACCTCGCTCGCTTGGTTCAGCAGCTACCTCTCTGATAGGCTACAAACTGTCGCACTTGGTGAAGTGTCAAGCGATGTTTTGCCAGTGGAGTATGGTGTGGTCCAGGGTTCGACCCTTGGTCCTGTTTTGTTCCTCCTTTATATTAATAATATTTCTAAAATTCAAACAGAAGGAAAATTAACATTATTTGCTGATGATACTCTAATATTTGTAACCGGATCATCCTGGGAGGAGGTTAAAAACAAGGCTGAATCAGACCTCTGTTTGCTGAAAAAATGGCTTGACCAAAATGTATTGTCTCTTAATATATCTAAAACCAAATTCATGCCAATTTCATTACGTAAGATAACCGAATACAAACTTGAAAACCTATCTATTCATGTCTGTGGAAATCATTCCAATAACTCTTGTTCTTGTAGCAAAATTGAAAAAGTTGATTCATACAAATATCTTGGTATTGTTTTTGATTCAAAGATGAAGTGGTCGGAACATGTTGAATATCTAACAAATAAATTACGCAAATATATTTATGCATTTAGGCAACTTAGTGATATACTCGAAGAGCAAGAAATTAAAATAGCATACTATGCATATGTTCAATCTTTGTTATCTTTTGGAATTATTGCTTTTGGTGGTGCTTACAAAACTATCTTGCAACCTGTTTTTGTTGTACAGAAAACAATACTTAAAGTTGCTTTTAAAAAACACTTTAGATATTCAACTGACGACCTTTTTGTAGAAACGGGAGTTTTGACAGTCAGACAGTTATTTTTAAAATTTATTTTAGTTCACATGTACAAAAACTTTGATAATATTTTTATAAAAATTACTCATCCCCACAATACGCGCTTTTCTCGAAATGTTGGTATAAATGTTCCACAAACTTTAAAATCATTTTCACATACGAATTGCTTTCACTTAACCCAAATCATTTATCGTAACATGTGTAACAGATATCAAAATGTTAACATTTTAAATTCACCCTCTCTCTCTCTATTTAAGAAGCATGTAGTAGCGTGGCTTGTAGGATTGAGTGCAGAGGACACCGAGGCCGTTATCGCGTTGGGCGGACCTGACCGTTGACCCTACACAATCACTGATACAACACCTTCACTGACTGACCAACACACCACACTCCACCTCTCCTCTCCAATCTTCACCAGATTTTTATAAATTTTCTCAGTTTTGTACAAAGAGTTTTTTATCGTCAATTTAATTCACAGAAGAAAACTAAACATTCAGTTTCAAGCAAGAAAATTTTTTAAAATTTAGAATTATACGAATTATTTTTTGTTTTCCTATACATTTTTCTACCTCCCATCTAAATTAACCTTTTTCGCAACTCTAGTCTACGCACAGGCCCTGCCTATGTAGACTTTTTCCTTTGTTATAGAAGGTATTTTTTTTTGCACATTTTTCGTTTTATTTCTACAGAATATAATTTTTCTTTTGTTATCCAGTTAGTAATGTTTGCTGTATTATATTTAAGTAAAAAAAAATACAATGTAATTATATGTATATAATTTATGGGAAATAAAATATTATTTCATTTCATTTCATTAACAAAAACAGGATTTTGCAACTATAGTTGCTGATGGCCCTAGCAGGTTGTGCATGTGTAAGTACTATCATTATCTTTAGGTGCACGGTACTAAGGGTCATCTAGGGATGCCCTATGAAGTGACTTTGCCAACCTATGTTGGTCGACTGAATGACTAACCACTCTTGGTTTTTCAGTGCTTATAGTAGATCTGGACGAAGACGGATCACAAGAATTGATCTCCTACTTGGTAACTTACGTGGGAGACGACAAACCTGGCACTTGGCGGCTTCAGTCCCGAGTTCGCCTCATCCGACTGGAGGCCGAACTTCCCAAACTGTACGAGGCCATTGAAGGCCACAAAGCACAACTTCTCGTCTCTAAATCTGTGAACCGCCTGTAAACTAAGGCTTCACATTTCACTATGGATTTCTGTTGCATACCTGTTTAAAAGGCTGAATTTTTTGTTCCTGAGTTTTTTTTTACATCAATAACGATATATTGTGACTGTCTAATCATATATTTTCCTTAGATTTTATGTTAGGTTCTTAATTTTTTTTTTTATTAGTTAACATCTACTTCTTTATCTCTGTTTCACGCATACCTAGTTTACAATGTAAGCTGTTGGTTGAATGTTTATACAACCCTCCTAATAATGTATAAGTTCAATTTTATATTGAAAAAAGTTAGTAGCTTTTTGTGTGGTTTGAAACTAGAAAACTGGACCCAGCTTTCTTTAATAATTGGACTTTTTCTTAAGATCCTGGCTAAAGCAAGAGCTCATAAATATTCGGTTGAAAAGCTAAGCAAGGCATCACATTTTGTTAGAAACAGCCAATGTTGTTGTCTAGCAAAAAGCTTATTGATACCTTATGTGGTATTAATTAGTTATGTCCTTATCTTGAATGATTTGATTTGTGTTGTGTGATTATTATCTGATAATATTGTTTGTTGTTTATTTTTAAAGATATTTTTATTTTATTTTACCCTTTCTATACAGCCAAAACAATGTTCCTGTTAAAAAACATACACTTTGGAATGAATCTATTTTTCCTTTTTGGAAGTAGTATGTGTTTCTCAACCATGTTGTATGTCTTTGTAGAATTACCCTAGTTATATTATTATTTAGTTATAATCATAATTAAAATTGTTGTGACTATATTTAAGTTTAAAGTCTATTTGAATTGTTAAGTTTTGTCGCCTTTTACTATAATAAAAATGAGTTAAATACTTTTTGTTTGACCAATTTGATGACAGGCATATCAAATAATGTCTACTGTCTATTACCAATACTGTAAAATCTTCTCACCAATTTTATGATGTTTTCGATTCCACTTACATTGCCCTGGCATAGTGAAATTTATTTAAAATAATTTATTCTGGCATAAGTTGCACTAACTTATTACACAAAAAAAAACTTTTTAAATATTTCAGAACTTCCTATTCAAGAAAAATCTTAAGTGTCTTCACTTGACTAACCGACAGGCGAATCTTAAACTTCAAATATTGTTTGAAGGAGTAGGGCTCAAACACAGTTATCCAACCAAAAACAGCTTGGTCTTATCCTAGATTGATCTTTCAAATAGCGACCTAAAAAGATTATACGGTACAGTAGCTTTAGAAAGATCAAAGATGATCCGACTAAAGAAGTAACTAATTATACAAACTTTATTTTGTAGAAGACATGTTTACAATGTATTTGTACAGTAATTGCGTAGCTTACATTTATGATTACATTTTTTTTTTTTATTGTTAGCTGTGTTTTATAGCTTATTGTTACACATTTTTTGTTTGTTATAATTGTTCTGCTTTATTCCTTGCCTACACTTTAGGCGTTAAAAAAAGTTTTGTAATTTTTGGTTCCTTTAGTGTAATGTTTTTATAGTTGAAAATGTTAATAAATATTTGAAAGCACGGCAAATGTTAAATATACTTTCACCGATTACAAATTTAATTTTTATGTGTCTACTTACAGTTTTTTGCTCTCCACATAACTTCCTCCCCTAAGTGTAAGTTGGCGCAAAAACTTGGACTTACCCAAATTACCATCTGAACTGCTCAATGGACCTTAAATTTGTAATCTTTGATTTAGTTTTTCAAATACTTAGAACATAACTCTATGACAAAAATTTACTGCATTTTCGGATTTAACATAAAAAAACTGAGGTAGTATAAACAAACAGCATCAGCAATAGCAATCTGACACGTACTATCTCTTTCTCCCATTAGCTTGTCAACAACCCTTATCATGGCACATGGGTGAGAGTAACTTTGATAATTTAAGAGGAAAATCACAAAAGTTGTAATAACTTTATTTATAACGGTAATTTTTACAGTAATAGGGGTTGTACTGTTTCGTTTAGAGTTAAAAGGACTAACAAACTCAATTTCAATCAAAATGTGTAAATTTTTTATTTGATTTTTCTGTTATTTAATTTTTGTGGGGAGAATCACAAAAGTTGTCATAAATTTTGAACCATATTTTTTATACCAATGGGGGTTGTATCTTGTTTAGAGACAAAATGACTAATATATAGTAAATTAAGTTCAAAATCGTTAAGGCCATTTTTGAGCAAATGAGATGTTTCCATTATTTTATGGGTTTTTATGAGAAAACCACCGTTAAAATCAAAATTTCAAAAAATAAAAAAATAACTTCTAGACTTAGATTAGTACACACCACACCAAATTTCACCAAAAGCAGCTCTATACACAGACATCCCTTCGAAACCCACTTTTTTGGGTTTAGGGGTCCCAAAACGGATATCCACAAAAAACTCATACTCAAAAATGTTTGACAAAAACAATACTTTCTCCGTATACTATGGAATAAGGGGAGAAATAAAAAATTTAATTTGTAATCGGTGAAAGTATAATATACAACTTTTATCAAAAGCACATTCATTATGCTGACAAAAGTAATGTTCTAGGCTAACATATGCTTGTATTTATATTTTGTTTTATACTATCATTATCCAACCTTTATAAGCAGAATTATATAATATTTTTGGAGTTGGCTTTTTATTGTACTAGCATCATTACATTTCATGTTAGCTAGTATACAAGAGTTGACACTTAGCAGACGTCTTTTACGTTGCTTGCTGAAATAAAATGTTGATGCTTGCTAACACATAAAGTGGAAACTTGGGCTTCACGTCTATACTAAAAAATTTTGTTTTTATCTGCCGTTTTTATATTTGCATGATGTCTTACGGCGATTGATGTTGTCAAAATACATCTTTGAGCCAATAAGAGAAAAAGCCTATGGATATTTTGAATTATTTAGAAAAACTTTCTTTTTTTGTGTACGGCAATTTAAAAATTTTGATAATTAAATAACTTACGTCATCAATCCATAAATTGCTGTGGAGTACGCGTTTCAACCATCAGGTCATCCTCAGCTCCACTGTCACTAGGTTGAATTTGCTTCTATGTTGCATTATAGCAACAGCGTCGATATATTAAATAAATAGTCCAAACATATTTTACGTTTATCACACATACACGACACGTACGAAACATTTAGATAACAAATACTGTGTAACACCGTGCGCACGGCTGGACGGGCTCAGGTTTGCGGCTACACTGACGTGGTGGTCGGTATCCTAAGGATACCGACCACCAAGTCAGTGTAGCCGCAAACCTGAGCCCGTCCAGCCGTGCGCACGGTGTTACACAGTATTTGTTATCTAAATGTTTCGTACGTGTCGTGTATGTGTGATAAATGTAAAATATGTTTGGACTATTTATTTAATATATCGACGCTGTTGCTATAATGCAACATAGAAGCAAATTCAACCTAGTGACAGTGGAGCTGAGGATGACCTGATGGTTGAAACGCGTACTCCACAGCAATTTATGGATTGATGACGTAAGTTATTTAATTATTTGATAACTCAATCCGTTGTGCTACAATCTCAACATTATTAAACATTTTGCCTTGACAAACTAAGCAGTAGAAGATATTTAGGATTTAAATATAAAATTATTTACACTTAAAGCTATCTTAAGTTTGTCCTACTAGATAAGTCATAAGGAGATTAAAATTTGTGAATTTTATGTGAAACGGTCCAATACGAGACTAGTAACTCGCTGAAACTTAAAAGACTTGACTATTAGTCTCTTTAATGAATAAGTAATTTTTCAAACGTTTGTAGAATGAGTTTTACAATCTCAGTGAAAAGTAGTGTCTAGAATTATATTGTATTAAATATTATATTACTATAATTTTTAGGATAAATCTAGAATTTTTAACCCAAGTGGTAGGGTTACCAAAAAGACATTGTATATGACCATAAGGGCTTGTTGCATTAGAATGAGGTACGGTAGCTGTTAACGACCTAATTGTAAAAAAATGTTTGTTGTATTTCGGTTCAATTTTTTACTTGTTTCTTTGTAGTTGGTGGGTATTACCATTGTTTAGTCTGCCAACAAGGAAAGCAGCAACTTTCAAGCGGTAAAGGGCAAAAGTACTAATAAGTACCAGCCAAAGCCGCCCATTGAACATATCACCAATTGTTGTTTGTTGACTCATCTCTCTAAGTATTTAAGTTGATTTCAACATTTGAGGTGTCAAACATATTGTTCTTACACTTAATTTTTACAAAAATGTTTTCATTGGAAATATTTTTAGGATATAAATCCTCGTTTTAAAGGCTAGTGCTGCAATATAGCTATACTGATTTATGGATGTAATATTTTATAGCTAGCAGTCTAGTAAGTCAAAAATAATTAGCTTATTTTTGAAGGTACTAGTACAGTATCAGGGAGCAAGTGAAATCCATTATTTATATCACTTTTCTTTTATTACACACTGAATACTTGTAGTACCTCAAGTGTCTTTTATTTAGTTTAAATAAACATTGGTTGATTTTAAAAGTTAATAACAAGCCCTGAGTCTGATAATATTGTAATTAAACTATAGACATACACTACACACTTCTTCAATCAAGACTCTATTATCTTGATATATTTTGTATCATGTAGTATTACTTTTCTAGTCATATTTACTTTATTATACAATTGAATAAAACACCTCTTTCTATCCACAATATGGCTCATTTACTGTTTCCTAATCCTGTTTTCAAACTAAATGAAGCAATTCTGGTAGATCGCGAGGATATAGATTTTACGCTTTTTAATTGCCTTCTCAAATGAAATATAAATAAAAAATTTAATGTAAATACACTTAGACCAAGTGTGTTATAAGAGCAGAATGAGAGGAAACATTTTTAAAGAGTTAAAATTGCATTATCTTAATAGCCTACTGTACCACTAAAATACAGGGTGTTTATAAAAGAATGTCGGGATTTGAAACGGCCATTGCTTGGGGACTATTCAAGATAATTAAATTATTTAAATGTCAAATTGAAGGGAAGAGAACAAAGTTTTTTCTCATACTTTGCTACAATTTGGAATAATTTAATAAAGTTCTGATTTTCATCAATCTTATATGAGAGTAAAACTGGTTAAGTCTATACGCTTAGGCGGATCGGTGGGATTATCTGATGTCAACTGAATCTTTTTAGGCACAAAGACTCTATCTTTCACAGATAACATCAAAAAGTGTTGATTTAGGAATGTTTAACTTCATCGGGCAATCAATTTTTTAGGGCTTCTGATGCAAAATTGTCGGATTTGTTCGACTATGTCATCGCTTGTTTTTAGCCGGCCAGGTAAATGTCTTTTCAAAACACTATGGTGCCACGAAACTCATTAAACCAGCATCAAATTTCTTTATCATCAAGTAGATTTAAATTTAGTTTAATATAGCAATCGATATAAACTCTGTGAACCACAGATTAATCGGTGCCTTCTGTTGTGCGGTAAACATTGCACTGGCAACTGGCGTCATCAGGCGTGTGAGTCGCAATAGCGGCCTACCACCCCGCACCTGATTTGCGCATGCCAAGGCCAAAGTCTCCTCCCTTGCTACACGGGAAACAAAACTTAGTTATTTTAGCTTCAATTTGATGTATAAAACGTTTAGTTACCTTGAATAGTATCCAAGCAATTACCATTTTAAATCCCGGCATTCTTTTATAAACACCCTGTATGTGTGTCTGTTCTGTTCACATAATTCAGTTGAAAAGTTCACAAGACCAAAGTCTTGTCATTAGCTGGCTCATTTTGAAGGTGTAAGGTACCTATGTCTAACTACTAACATTTTCAACAAGACATTAGATTACCATGTTCAAGTTGAATCCAGTTTAAAAAAAACTAACCTACCTGTAGTTAAATTTATCCAGAGCTAGCCGTCGTCACTTGGAAGGGGTGCGACCGCACTGCGGGAAAAATTGTAAAAAGTGTGTATTGGTTTTTGGTGTTTTGGTTTTATGTTTATTTGGGTGGAGTGCGAAGGGACCAAAATAAATGTTCAATATATCAAGGGAGGATTTTGTTGAAACAATGTTCATTATATTGAGGTAAGATTTTGCTCAAATTTAAGTCGAGGTTCACAAACAGTAATGGACAATATACGTTGAGAAGTAGCATTAGCATAGCAGCATAGGCCACTGTATTGTAATGTTAGATATCAAAGAAAACTCCCATTTTTTTATACATAGCATAACTTTATTGTTATGTGTACGTACTTTACAGTATTCATAAAATCACAACTGGTACAGTACATTACAGAAGTAAAGCACCTAAAAACAATAAACACAGTCACAGTATAATAGTATTTCATCTCTAAATCAGCTGATTTTACTCCTGTGTGCTGCGGCCACTGCTACAAGTCTGTCTTGTTCTAAAGCATTTGAATATAACGTTGGAATAGAAATAATGTGGTATAAATTTGTATAAGGTATATTTATTCATGGAATTTGTATGCCAATCGTTTACGATAATAAATCTGTAACAAGACAATTTGTCTCATCAATCACCTAAAATTTTATCGATTCTTTCAATAGCCATTGTGATTTCATTCTCTTCAGGAAGCTTCAATTTTACAAAATCTGTGTCACACAGAATTTTAGCAAGAATATTTTTTGCTTGGAATATATCTAATTTCATATGATAATAGTCCAGTGTAAAACCATTGAAGAGTGTTAATTGCTCGTTATTTTCTAAGTGTTGAACTCGTATGTTGACTATGTATAGTAAAAACTGACAAAATTGTTTTAAATCAAGTCCATAGGAAGCGTTCAGCATCACTTGACAATGTTGCTCCCACCCTTCCATATCATGACAGTCGGATATTTCTTTCTTTACAGCGTCTAAGTTCGCTCGTAGAGAAGCCCACATTTTGTCAATATTACATCCGTTGACCCAGTTGTGGTTGATCGAAATTGTGTCTTCCTGGAAAAAGGTAATAATTAAGTCCTACAAGCAGTTAAGTTAGATATCAATCCAATGGATGCATACACAAAATATATCGCAAAAAGTGTAGTATGGGGTTTAGTGAAATCTTCAAAGTGTGGTAAAATCTTAACAACTCAGCAATAATATCCTGTATCCTTTCATTTCAGGTGAAGTATTAACTTTTGGATTTTGAAGTAGACTAGACATCCGTGTTGCCGTTTTGCGCGTAATTACGCTTTTTGCACGGATTTTGGGGGGCTGCGCGGATTTTTGTGCGGATTAGGCTTGTGAGCGGATTTTGCGCGGATTTCACCCAATTGTAAAGTATTTTTAAAAAATGGGAATTTTAACGGCAAATCGGGAGACTTTTGTACTTAATGACTCAAGAGAAGCACTTTATGAGTACCTATATGAAATAAGGATTATATTATAGTGCATTCAAGAATGATCGATGATGTTTTTTTGTGTACATTTATTGTTCTCTTCACTCCCTTTACTTCTCTAAGTTCTACGTCTACGTCTCTAGGTTGTCACTTGTAGAGATTTAATCGTTTTCTAGGGATATTTTACTACCCGTTCTACTGATTTTCCTCTAGACGTTGGTTTGTGGCCACACTACTAACCTAACCAAACACTAAACAGGCAAACAAAACAAAGTACCAACCAACAGAAACAAAACAAACTAACCAACTTTTTAATATTTAATACTATTACAATTTATGTATTAGGTTAGTTTTGAAAAGAATAATTGACATACAATAATGCACTTTCATTCTCAAAGGTAACATCTTCCATCAGGCTAAGGCTAGTTTGAAAACAAAAAGTAATATTTTTTTTATTTGTGGTTTTTTGTACATTTTTTTCCAACTTCGTTTGTTTGTATAGTTCAAAAATAAGAGAAAAACCAACAACTCCTGTCTTAATTTATTGATACCTCTAACCCCATATTTTAGGAGATATAATATTGCATTTTATTGATTTCTAAAACTTTTAACTGATTGGAAAAGTTTGTTCAGAACAATAAGTTTAGTTTATAAGTTTAGTTTAATTGAATTG